TATACTCGTTGTTGTGATACTTTACATGAAGTCCTCCACCCCCGAACGTTTCCGCCATCCTTGGTTTGGGGGCGTGACAGAAACTGAACCGACTCCAATTGATGAAGAACCTCATCACAACAACTCTCTTCCTGCAAATGAAACTGAGATTTTTTTTGAAGATAATAAGGCCTTTGTTGTTTCTTTTCGCATTCAAACTTCATTTCCCTTCCTGGTTCCTTCCACATCCAAATTCCTACACTACCTCAGATTATCAGAAGATATGAATATTGAAGATTAGATTGGTGATCAAGAAAATCAAGCTCAAGTTGTTGATGCTTCTCAATATTTTGAAGATCTTGATGGTAATAAAAATTTTGAAAACTCTTCCTCAGATATTGGATCCACTGACGAAAACATTTTTGATCCGTTCACAATCTTAGAACTCCGAGACAATGTTGAAAAAGTCGATTCCAAATTTGACGCTGTCACTTCCAAAGACATAGCCAATCAATTGAATCAACTCATTTTTCTTCGATTGAGTTGTACTTTGGAAGAAGCTGAAGAACGATACAAAGATGATCTTGATCATCACATCTCCATCATTGATATGATGCTCAAAATTGACGATGACATGATTTCTGCTACAAACGAACTCATCAAGCAGACTCATGTTTGTCATGAAAAACAAATTCAAAGATTAGAGGAAGGAATCAAAGAGAAGGATGGTTTCAACATGATCATGCAACAAGTTCTCATCAAAGTCATTCACTCTAGTCAATATTTTGTAGACACTCCCAATCACAAATTCGATGCAATTATCCTAGTCATGGAAGAAACTCTTGACACCCTCAAAGCCCAAGCTCCGACAGTTAATGCATATGACTCACTCTCCAAGCAAGTCAATATGAGCTTCTAATAGGTGTTTAAAAAGCTTGACGATCATAAACCCGACGTATTGCTTGCATTGGAAGTATGTCCTTTCCATGAAAGAGGGGGGTAATTATGGAAACCTATCTCGGAATTCAAACTCCAAGATGAAACATATGATGATGAAATGGAATTTATCAAAGACGTTGCAGGTGACGATGTGTTTGTTGAAATTGAAGACGCAAGTGAATAAGAACTTTATGAAAATAATCAAGGGATTGATGTGATTCTAGGACTCCAAACAGTCGATGAACCCCTCTCGGAAGATAAAACGAAAAAATGGTCGTCTGTTTGTTGGCCATCAAACCTTGCTGATTCGTTCAATTGAAGAAAAGAAAAGGTTTAACTAAAAATGAAGATAGATATTAATGCACTCCTAGCTTCTCAGCCAATTCCTCCTCCTATTCCTGCTCCGAAAATTGCTCGTGTTGATGATGGTCCACCAACCAAAAAACTAGAAGACCTACCTGAGGAACCTTTGATCCCTCCTCCCTTGGAATTATTCATCACTCCAATCGGTCAACAAGTCATCTCATCTACCATCACACCAAATCCTCTTGCCAAATACAATGGAAAAGGAATCTCCTTGCTTTATAAGACTCAAAGTAAGATTGGTAAGGAAACTTAGGGGGATATTGTTAGTACATGAAAGTACCCCTTAGACAATCTGAGATATACAACCATTTCGAGATGGTCATGGTTCCAAAATATAGAGATTCCAAGATAGCCTTTTGTCCGAGTAGAAATGTTTAGAAGTGAAGACTAAAAGATGAAGAAGAGATTTTGAGATTGTTCCTTAACTGAGATGAAGACTCCTAGATTATCCTTATTACGAGATGGAATATTGTTTCAAATAAAAAGTGAAGATTTAGAGATGACTAGTTCCGAGATGCCTCGGATTCAGAACTTAGTCAACTTTCCCTGACAAGAAGTAAGTTCTTTTGGTTGTATTTCATTTTTAGCCTACTGTTGATTCAAAGGAAATCCACTATATCATGATTTTGTTAACTATTGCAAGCACTCTTTGTTCAGAGTATTTGACTTGTTGTGCATCTTTTGGCTATAAAAGGAGTGTCAACATTTTACCAAAATACACCTCTATTAAGCATCAAATAGAATCCTTCACTTCTCTCATTTTTTGTCAATCTTCTCACATATATTCTTTTTGTTCTTAATTACTTTACTTTGTTCATACTTTGCTTTAATCTTCTTGAATACTTTTTTGAGTTATTTACTTCAAGTCTTGACTGTATTGACCAGACTTGACTGGATTTTTAATTACTAGCAATCATTAACATTCATGGTTAATTCAAGGTTTGTGTTTGCAAACCTTGTCTGCACATTTAATAGAGTTTAAGAACTTATAGTTCTGTGAAAGACTCAATTGGTATGATTAGTCACATTGGTCCTGGCGCCTTCTTAAATTGTCTAAGTTATCAGATCAATCATGAATATTAACTTAATTATATTATGTTTAACCTAGGGATATGACCGGCCTCTAGTCCTAATGCCAACCTCATTAATGGAGCTTTGGGCCACTAATGTTAGCAAAATAGCATGATACAAGATACATAATTCGAACCTAATCTTATATCATGCACTCAGTTAAATAAACATAACAAAAATAAAATTAATATACATCGATCTTTAATCAAGCAATCATAATAAATTGAATAACTCACTATAACCAAATATCAATCAACATTAAAACTAGGGTTTCATAAATAAAAAATAATCATAAAGGGTTTGATCCCAAATATCGAAAAGAACATATAGGAATTCAAAGAGTTGACTAATTATAGACTAAAAAGTAAATAAATTGATAATCTAATGATTTATTCTCTTGATCTTCAAATTTCTGCATTTATATCAGCCTGCCAATTGATATAGCCTTTAGACCCTCAAAACGGCCTTTTCTGGTCTTGATCTTCTGTATTCCTCTTTTTTTTTTCTAGTGTTATATTTTCTTTGGAAGAATTTAGGGGTTTATTTATAGTTTTTCAGAACTGACTTAAATTGCAGCTAGAAAGAAATTTTTGGGGGTTATCTTCAGAATCATCAGATTTCTTTCCATGCTTAACCCCAACATTCTTTCTTGCTCAATACTTCACGAAATTATGTCCAAAACGGGCATTTTCAACTATTATATCACAAACATGCATTTTTCAGCTGTAAATATAAATATAAAGAAATTAAACACCTTTTACCTTGTTTTAATCGTAAAATGCCTAGAAAAGTATGTGAAATGTCCCATAAAATATGTATAATTTAGGAAATATCACGTATATTAGTCTTTATCAACTTCATTGTTGAAAATGCATGGTCCACACTTGTTGCAACTGGTAAGATCAACGCAAGTTTCAAAAGAAGATAAACTTTGATCTTTAGGCCAGATTAACTAGTAGTGAATTTAAATTAACTTTCATATAATTATGTTGCTCATTATCATCATCTATTTTTTTCTTAATTATTTTTAAAAAAATCAAACATATACATTCGTAATTCAATGATTTTATTGAAAGACGGTAATAGTAAAAAAAAAAAAAAATCGTTCTTGATTCAATTATTTTAGTAACCACATTCGGCCAATTGGTATTTCTAATAAGTAATAACAACAGTATTGAGACTTGAAACAATAAAACAAATAGTGAATAACAACATAAAAATATATAACCCACCTTGACGATTGGACTGGAAGACATTGTCACTGAATTTTGATTCAATCATTTTGATTGTCCTCCTAAGTCGTGGAAGTCGTTGTATGTTTGTGTGAGACTTGAAACAATCAAGGAAGGATTACTGAAGATTAGGAAGGCGTTGTATCTTTGAGACTCAATCACGCAACGAAATGTAAGGAAGCAGAGTAGGCGACGTGTTTTTTTAATTAGACAATTGGTTTACTAAGTTGTTGGGATTCTTTTTAAGTAATAAAGTTTATGTCCTTTAAAATTGATATATTTATTTTATTTTGTTAAACACTATAAAGCTGGTTCTAAAACTTTTTCAAGATAAATCCTAAAAAAATTCTATATAAACTATAAAAATAATTAAAAAAATTAGGTGGATCTTGGAACCCATCTTCCTACTAATTAGATTCGCCTTTGACTATTGAATAAATCTTTTTTTTTTTTGATATTTTCTTAAAAGCTAAAAGCGAAAAGATAAAACCATCTAAAAGCTCTCAAAAGTTTCGTGTCTTACAGGCCCTCTATGCAATGTTATATTTGACTGATTTGTTCTTAGTTTAATAAGAAATTCAGCTTTTTTACAAGTGTATTTAAGTTCAAATAATGATTTTACAACCATAAGTTTTAGCGAACACAATGATGGGTTTTGATAAGCTAAAACGAATTTTTTTTAATAAAATGTATATTAACAACAAAACGAAAAAGATTTTAAAATAACTATTATTTTAAGACCATTTTAAAATAAAACCACCAAGGAGCCATTTACATTTAACAAAAAGATTATATACAATCATATGATGTTTAGATGACAACCTTTGAAGACTTTGATCCCATTTAACAATTTGGGAGTTGATGGAGATGGTAAAAACAAAAGTACAGTTTATTTATAATGTATCCACCAACAAGATGAAGTCACCAAGAATGCTAGTTATCTCCTTTAAAATAATTCTTAGCCTTTAAGAACTCACCACAAATAAGTCTTAAAGTAGAAGCACTTCATAAGAACACATTTCTTACAATATACTTCAAAAGAGAGGAAAAAGATAGGGGAGAATGGAGCTCTAGGCTTTGGTAAGAAATAAGAGAAAGATATCAAGCAACTAACATCAAAATGAAATACTTACTCTCCTATATACTTACACTTGAGATCTAAGACCCATGCTTTCATTAAATGCAAAAGGATGGGACTTAGAAGCATGGTGCATGTAAGAACAAGTCAAATAAGCAACACACTATCTCTCTTCAATGGTTTAGGATGAAAAGAAGTGAGATGAGAGAAGAAGAGTGTCACACGCTTCACCACATTAAAGTAATGTATATATTTAAGTCCAGTCGAATATCGTGTGTTCAAAAACTTATATACAACATATTTTATGATACCATGTGATAAAATATCAAGTTATACTCTATAAAATATTATTTTCATAAACAAATAATTTCTTCAAAATTAAATACAATAGCTGATATATTTATTAATAATCAAATTTGTAATAAACAATCAATAAGTGACAACTTTCTAGAGGTGTGACCCTATACGATCATATGTTATTTGCAAACATCCTTTTAAAATGATTCTTAGGTATATAGATCCAATAATATCCCACTTTCACAATATTCATTATAGATTGACATAGACAGTGGTTGACATCTAGCAACAGACCACTGCCCCTAACAACACACGAACAGGTTCCATATATCAATTACCAATTTCCAAGAGCTCAAATCTACGATTGGTTATAAGGTGTTGTATCAGTTATCCCTTTGTCATAGATATCATGTTAAACATGAGAGACCGATCACAACTAATCTCATTGGGTTTTTAACTTTTAGTAAAGACTTATATGTTTAACTCTCTACAAATAAGAGAAACAAATCCCATCTTCTCTATATACACCTCTCTTGTAATTCATGTTATACCCTATGATGGCCCTTATGAATTCCTTTTAACAGGAAAAACTTTAAACCATATCAAGGCATAACAATTCCTACAATCAAGTACCAATATGTATCCTAGGTCGAAGAATACAATGATACTACCTTTATCAAACATCATGCATGACTACGATCCATGGAGTGATCTTGATGCGGGCCATGTCCAATACGTATTCTCTAATCAAGTACCTATGAAGTTGGTTACAACCCTTTGCTATTTTTACCTCCATGAAAATCAACTAATCTAATTCATATTAGTCGTATTTCAAAGATGCCCCAACAACTATGAATGACTATGGACATTTATAATAACAAGGTTATTAAAGGATTAAACATGCTAATATAGAACACAACAATTATTTAATGAAAGGATTGTATCCAACATATCAAGACATTACAATATATGTTGCTTATATTGTTCCAAAATCTAAACACTAAATTTCATTCAAATCCAATCACTAGAACAATAAATTCCTCTATTTCAAAGATGACTATCATGCTTTAGCTAGTGAAGGAGCTTTTCTTATGTAGATTCGTCAAATATGATTTGTATAAACTTTTTGAATACTAACATTTTTGGTTTTATTTATATCCTATATATCATGAAAACTCTTGAGAATGTTTTAGATGCTTAAATATTACTTAGATACCAATACTTGTCTAATGGGATTACTTATAGTCATAAATGAAGTATTTATTCAAGCACCTTCATACAAGGTTTCCAAAATAGTAGTGTATTCTGACTTTGTAGTGTAATTGAAGCTAAATTTGCTTGAAACTCCATTCCATGCAACTTTCCTTTATTCGTAATGAGGACACGTTCGATTGTGACTGGGGATCATCTCAATATATTTGGATGTTCGCATATGTGTAACAGTTTACACATAACTTTCTTTCAAATACCCTACATATCAGGAATGTTTCTTTAGTTCTTCGTAAGTACAAAAGAATGTTCCTTTCAGTCATCATATGACTTATTCTCTGATTATAATAGTGTCTTTTTCATCAT